TTCAGGAATTTTATTAGAACCCTGGATAAAGGCAGTTACTAGTCCAGAAACAGAAAAGTTATCTATATTTCAATGCTGATTTCGTAATTATGTATGAGTTCGGAACAGTGTCAGCTCAAATTATACAGGATTTAGCGCTGTATTCTCTGAGTTACATCGAGATGGCGGTTCCTTCTGTTTTTGAAGGATTGAACTCAGGTATAGTGTAACTTTTAGGCGTAAAAGCTAGTTGGTTGACTCTAAGTACGGCTAGTGTGTCGACAGATAGTTAAATATTTCTCCATTGAAGGGTAGCTAGCTCTGAGAATATCAGGTCTACTACCTTGTACATAAAACTAAGACAAGTGAGTATTTTTTTATAGACACACTATTGAGTATTGGAGTGAAACAAATCACCAACTGGAGCGAAATGAATGTAGATGATTCGGTTTGAGATTAAAGCATAGTAATAGGTCTAGTGCGTATGTAATTTTACATTAGTGATTCTTCCAAGCTGTGAGCGCCTTTTGGATTGTCCTAAGCACAGATATTTATCTTCTATAGATGCCTGAAAAATAGTGCAGCTGTAGATGTCGCGGAGGATTCATTTTAGGGGCACATACCTTACTAATTTGAGAAAACAGAAAATTTCCACTCAAGTAGATTATGTTCTTGGATACTACTTACTAGTGAGCTGCTGTATATATTGCATTTCACCTGGTGTTGGCAAGATATTGGTACATTCTACAGGACTAATTGACTATTCTGCTTTTCTTTAAATGATTCATTTGCTAATTGTTTTAGATTTTTTTTCATAGGTACTGGAGAAGAAATCCGTACTTGCAACACTTGAATCCCTTGATAGTGGAAAAACATTGTATGAGTCTGCTGCAGATATGGTACTTTCTTGCATAAATGAGATAAATATATTGTTCGCTTCAACTTGATGTACACAAATTTATTTTTTGTGCTGTCTTATATTTCAGGATGACGTTGCAGGATGTTTTGAGTACTATGCAGGCCTTGCTGAAGCTTTGGATTCGAGAAGGATGACTCCGGTTAATCTTAATTCAGATTCATATAAAAGTTATGTTCTTAGAGAACCTCTTGGTGTTGTGGGATTGATAACTCCATGGTAGGTGCCATTTTCAGAGTTATTACGTTTTTTCTTTAGTTTTACAAACCACAGACTGATCAGGTAGATGTTTGTGTACATATCTATATACACTGGTTGTTTTCGTGTCATTGACAAGCTAAAAGTAAGTCGTTATACTTTATCTGAGGTAGTCTGGCCGTCTGGTTAGTTCTTAAAATGTTGAAATATGGTTTGGAAATGAACAATATTCAGTTAACTAGTTGTCTCCTAGTTCAGCAATATATTTCATTGGAAAAGTTGGACCATAATCCTAATAAATGAACAATGAGAATGACATTCAAGCACACTTTTTCAAGTCAATGATCCTTTTTTTTTTTAATTATGAAGGAATTATCCATTGTTAATGGCCATATGGAAAGTTGCCCCTGCTCTGGCTGCTGGTTGTGCAGCAATACTTAAGCCATCTGAACTAGCATCAATGTGAGTCCTTATATCATATCATCTTCATTATCTATATCCTTGATCCGCATCATTTGCTCCTTTAATTAAATGACTCTGACATTCAATTGTAGTACCTGTTTGGAGTTGGGTGAGATCTGTAGAGAGATTGGTCTTCCTTCTGGTGCCCTTAACATTTTAACAGGATTGGGGCCTGAAGCTGGTGGTCCTTTGGCATCTCATCCTCATGTGGACAAGGTTTGCCTGTTTCTTTTTCGACTTTGCCTTTTGATTATTTATCGAATCTCACATAAAATATGTTCAAAATGATTTTATAAATTTTTTGGTGACAGATTTCATTTACAGGAAGTGGACCTACAGGATCTAAGATCATGACTGCTGCAGCTCAACTTGTTAAAGTATGTTTTGACGTAAATAAGTGATCTTTTAGGTTCTAACTGGAAAAAAACTAGCTGGTCTGCGGGTGGATTAATTATGCTAAGCCCTTTTGTTTCATTTGCAGCCAGTTAGTCTTGAGCTTGGTGGAAAAAGTCCAATCGTGGTGTTTGACGATATCGATAACCTTGATATAGGTTTGTTCTTTTTAAATTGTACACTCGACCATTTGGTTAAGAAGTTTGCTTCACCCTTTTGTTTAGGAATTTTATCTTGAAACTTGATCCTATGTTCTTCTTTGTCTAATGCAGCTGCTGAGTGGACTCTTTTTGGCATCTTTGCAAATACTGGTCAAGTTTGTAGTGCAACATCACGGCTTATAGTACAGGTAACAAGTGTTAAATGTGGCTGAGGTCCACATATTTAGTCACAGTGTTTTCCTTTGGTTAACTCGGTCCTGGATAGGCACAATTTACAATTATCTAGGAAGTACCTCTCAGAACACCTGTGTGTATGATTGATCATCAAGTCACGTCGTGCTTGGCAGTGTAATAGGAATGTGAAGTTCAACTCTTCAGCACTTTGTGAGAGAGGGTATGCTTGAGAGAAGATCAACAAAATTGCCACTCCTATTCAAATTGTGTGACATTGTCTTAACTCTTATCTGCCTATTTCTTGGAAAAATTTGGGACTCCAGTTCATTTGCTTTGTTTTCTTATGAACAAAACGATTGTTCAGGGTGGGAAAGATAAGTTTATTTCCTAAACGTGAGCTGATGTGAATTGCTAGGGTGCAATTTTTTTAAAAAAATTTGGATATTAATTGATTTATCTAATGAAAAAAACTTTATGAAGTTAGAAATTACACGGAGAGTACTATCAATTACATACTAGAATTCAGTAAATAGTAAAAAGGTGGAACAAATATGAGTATATGAGATAGGATGTGGCCTTCCCAAGAAAAAGATGATCTAGTATATATTTTACCATACTTTAGCATATCAAGGCCAGACGCGAATGCTGATTACATTATTTCTAACTTACAAACACTGTAGCATTTCCTGGTCTTTTTGATGTACTCTTTTGTGGTATTTTCCTTTCTATTATCCATCATGTCGAAACGTTTCTTAAAATCAAATTCTGAACATTCCAGGAAAACATTGCTTCTGCATTTATGGACAGACTGCTTAAGTGGACCAAAAACATCAAAATCTCCGATCCTTTGGAAGAAGACTGCAAGCTTGGTCCTGTCGTCAGTGCTGGACAAGTAAGAAATTGCATGCTTTTGGGTAAAATAGAATATGTGGTTCTAACAATAAATTGCCTCAGAAACAAAAAGTAGATAATTAACAGTGAGTTGACACAGCAACTCATTAGAAGACACTATTTTTGGTTTATTATTTTCTAGCAGATCTTGTAGATGGAGTGGTCACACAATGTGTAGACAATCTCTATGTACTAATTTTTGTTAACCTGCAGTATGAGAAGGTATTGAAGTTCATCTCAAATGCCAAAAGTGAAGGTGCAACCATTCTGTGTGGTGGCGAACGGCCTCAGGTAAAAAAGATCCTTATCTAGCAAAAGGCTGCAGATGCTTTATTTTGTTTGTCAATCTTTTGTAAAACAACTTTAAGTCATCATAATTGAATTGCAGCACTTGAAGAAAGGATATTATGTTCAGCCAACAATTATTACTGATGTTAATACCTCAATGGAAATCTGGAAAGAGGAAGTATTCGGACCCGTTCTTTGTGTCAAAACATTCAAAACTGAAGAGCAAGCCATTGAACTAGCAAACGACACCAAGTGAGAGTTGCCTATTCAGACTGATGTTAACCATGTCTTTTTGTCCTTCCATTTTTACCTTTTTAGTTAATTTGAACTAAGTTTTAGTCATTTAGTATGTTGTTAATCCCCCCACTTCCTTTCATAGGTATGGCTTGGGTGCTGCTGTTATGTCAAAAGACGTTAAAAGGTGTGAGAGGTTTACAAAGGTGGGAACCTAGTATTTCACATTTGCTACAAGCGATTCCTTCATAAATCAATATCAGAAGGCGATTGACCTGTTGTCAATTAACTGGAATTTAATTTGCAGGCATTTCAGACAGGTATCATCTGGATTAACTGTTCACAGCCAACCTTTAATGAGCTACCATGGGGTGGTAAAAAGCGTAGTGGTTTTGGACGTGATCTAGGGAAATGGTAAGCACTCATTAATCTGAACTCACGTTGTATTTAAGTGAAAAACGCACTATATCAAAAAATTCAATGCACAAACTTGAGACCTCTGATATGATCGGAATGATAAGTGATAATCATTGTGTTCATTGATGCAGGGGTCTTGAAAATTTCTTGAACATTAAGCAGGTGACAGAGTATACTTCTGCTGAACCATTGGCTTTTTATAAGTCACCTTCAAAGAATTAGTAAAAGGGAGTTTGTCCACGAAGCAGTTTTAATAAATGTGCAAAACTAAACTCTAGTCTATTAGAATTGTTTATTTTGCTCGTTAACCAATAAACAGTTTTAATAAACCTTAATCGAATAGAGACAATATCAAAGTAGCTTTTCTTTTCTATTTATATATCGTGTTAGCCCTTCTTTGAATCATGTGTGAATACGAAATATTTTATATATTCTATCTAAAAATTTGAGTTGACTTTTCTAACTTCCCAACCTTTATTTCTAATACATTCTTTTAAAGGAAAAACAAAGAAAGTACCAAGTTGTCCTCTGTGGGTACGCACTTTGCAAAATAATCAAGAGAAAGAATAAAATAGCACCAATATACTCCCTCCTCCTCACTTTCTATGTGTCACATTTGATGTGTAATGTGCTAAAAATTAGAATATAAAGAAAAGGATTCTTTTAATTTTTGTTTATCTTAAATTAATACATGCATAACAAAATAAAAATGTCTATATTCAACGTATCATATTATCTTATATGAAAGTACTATTATTAAAAATAAAATAAAAATATGATGTACTTTTTTTAAAAAAATTAGAACAAAAATAAAAGTAAAATATACTATTTCCTTCAGACGTTTTAAAAGTGTTAACATATATATGAAAAATATTAGCGGAGAGCCCATCCCTCTTGTTCTTGTTCTTATGGAAGACATAAAGATGCAAGTGTATATTAAAATCCTTGGAAAGTAATCATTTTGATAAAATTAACAACATTTTTAAAGAGCCCGTACATTAACCATTTTGCAGAACAATTAGTAGGAAATTTCCTTGATTTATACTATTTAACTTCCTATTCAATTTCCACAGGCAAGAGTCAAGCAAAGCAATACAAAGACTTCAAAAGTCAATGGCTCATTTCCTCTACATTTCATCCAATCACCAAAAGCTTAAGTACCCATTTCCCCTTTACCTTCACTCCATCTCTCTATCCTCAATCTTTCTTCAAGGATTCTTGAAAACTAAACAGTAAAGTTGCAATCTTTAAGCAGCTAAGAAGCAAAAATGGTGAAAATTGGAGAAGGAATTGAAGTCAGAGATGAGCTAATCAAGAAAACATGTAACTTAACCATGGAAGCTCACAATTTATCACCTGGGAAACCTTATATTTACAAGAAAATTAATGGGTCTACTGATGTTGTTTTTGCTTTTGCTGGAACTTTGTCTTCTGATGGTTGGTACAGTAACACTTCTTTTGGAGAGAAAGAGATCAACACCACTCTGTTTCCATCTTTGAGAAGTGTTGGCACTGATGAAGTAGCTAAGGTCAATGAAGTATTTGCTACAAGATTTGAAGAGATACTGGACAAATCTTCACTTAAAAATGAGGTATACATACTGGGGTTCAATTATCTTGTTCTTTCTTAAAACTCGTTGTTTTGACTTGACACGAAAAAATTGTAGTGTTAAATGTTAGAGTAGTATAATCTCATTTCCTGTAGATAATTGTTTTTACCACTTGAGTGTACACCAGTTAAAGAATCAAATTCTGTGTGAGTGTTTAGACAAAGAATTTTTCTTTTTGATTCAATTTTTTTTTCAAAAGCATTGGAAGTTCTATTCCTGATAGTTCAGTTGGATCAACTTGATTCCCTTTAGTGGCTTTTATTTATTCCTTCCGTCCTAATTTTAGTGTCTTAGTTTGACTTAGACACCGAGTTCAAGAAATAAATGGAGACTTTGTTGTTTAGTCCTATTGATCTTCTGGTCTTAAACTCCAAGTAGAATGTTGGGATTGGAAAAATTACAAGATATAAAAAGAGACATTCTTTTTGGGAAAGACCACAAAGGAAAGTAAGTCACTTGAATTCTTAGTTGCGTGGACTCTCCACTTTTGATGCCGCACCCGTCTCGAATTCTCAAAAAAATACACTAGTTTTGGCGAATTCTACACGCACCCGTTGACATTTTTGAAGAGTCCGAGCAACATAGCTTAAATTGCAACGAACGGAGTATTAGTTATCATGTCAACAATAAAGTACTGATTCCTATCATAGATCCTATCAGGATAATGCCTCTGTAGAGTGTAGACTAAGTTAATGGAAATTAAGCTTCATACCTTCATCTTCGATTCATGGAGTTGTGTTGGTTTTAGGTGGAGAAGGCAATGTTAGAAGGAAGACAGGTAGTGTTTGCAGGGCACTCGTCGGGTGGCGCTATAGCTATTCTGGCAGCTCTCTGGTGTCTGGAATGTTGCCGCACAAGACCAAATGGTGACATGTTACTCCATCCATACTGTATGACTTTTGGATCCCCTCTTGTTGGTAACAAGATATGGTCTCATGCCCTCAGGCGCGAAAACTGGGCTCGTTACTTCCTACATTTTGTCATGAAGTACGACGTTGTCCCCAGAATGATGCTTGCTCCTCTTTCATCAATTCAAGAATTGCTTCAAGTAATCTCTCCCTTCATCAATCCAAAGTCCCAGTATTATCAGCACGAGGCTGTTGCACGATCAAGTCATGCATCGAATTTCTTTATGACTGTAATGAGGAGTGCATCCTCTGTTGCAAGCTATGATGCATGTAATCTGAAGGGATGCACAAACTTACTGTTGGAAACTGTTTCCAACATTGTTCAACTTAGCCCTTACAGACCCTTCGGAACTTACATCTTCTGCACTGGGAATAGGAAACTGGTTGTCGTTGAGAACCCTGATGCTGTTCTGCAGTTACTGTTCTATTCCTCTCAATTGAGTTCCGAAGCAGAAGCTGCAGTAGTTGTTCCTAGAAGCTTAAACGATCACCTGTTATATAAAAACGAAATGCAAGATAGCTTAGAGATGCAAGATGTTCTCCATCTCAACAATCTTACTGATATTCCTTTATCTTCAAATGTTGATCCAAGTATGAATTCAGCACTGAATGACCTTGGCCTGGTAAGCAATAGATATGGTTAATTTTTCATTTTCAGCAGGATTGTCTATCTTGCTCAAGCTAATAGGCGTTTTCACGTTATCTAAATCTCAGAGTACAAGAGCAAGGCTGTGTCTTCGTGCAGCAGGAGAGTGGGAGAAGCAGAAGAAGAAGAACGAGGAAAAGATTGAACAAAATAAGAGAAGCATCAGGGACGCATTAAGCAAGATACAGGAGTATCAGACCAAGTGTGATATCCGTAAAGTTGGGTATTATGATGCATTCAAGATTCAAAACACCGATGATGACTTCAATGCTAATGTGAGAAGGCTTGAGCTAGCAGGTATATGGGATGAGATCATTGAAATGTTGAAAAGGTATGAGCTCCCAGATAGCTTCGAGGGACGAAGAGACTGGATAGAACTAGGGACACAGTTTCGCAGGCAAGTTGAGCCCTTGGATATTGCAAACTATTACAGGCACTTGAAGAATGAAGATACTGGACCTTACTTGATCAGGGCTAGGCCTAAGCGTTATCGGTTCACACAGAGATGGTTAGAGCATTTTGATAGAGTGCAAGCTGGTGCACGTTCCGAGTCTTGTTTCTGGGCAGAAGTTGAGGAACTAAGAAACAAGCCATTTGCACAAGTGCAAGACAGGGTTTTGAATTTAGAAACAGCTGCAAATGGCTGGATCCAGAGTAGCCTTCTTGGCGATGATATTTTCTTCCCTGAATCTACCTATACCAAGTGGTGGAAAACACTCCCACCTCAGCACAAACAGGCATCTTGGGTGTCAAGGAAAATAACTCCTTAGCGCCTTGCGCCCTAATATCTTGATAAAGATGGTATCCCAGCCAACTCACAGACACCTATAACATTCCACCACATATGTTGCAATGCCCCTAATAAGAGCAGCCAGATGGTATTTGCTTCAGATAATAAGAAAAAGATAGAAGTAACAGCTTTACATTACTTCAATGAGATTAACCCAGATATATGTAGCTCAGATAATTGAAGATGTTTCAACTTTCATGAGAACTGCTTTACTTGTATGGTAGATTAGTAGCAAGAATAGCAACAACATTCAAGTATTTAAGTTTGGGATACAACAAACTCACAATTTTTCCATGTACACCGAGAATTTCAAACTTTTTATGTTTTAAGATCCTTCAAGTAACGAAGCAAGCAAAACTTCAATTTTTTCAAATTCTAATAGGAAGATACCTAGACAGCATAGTGACAGCAGAAGGTTTCAAATGCACCTTCCCCTTGTATGAGATTTTCTTTCTTCTATCTAAGCTATACTTGGGACTCACTGACAGCCAAGTCCATACAAAAGTTTGGAAAAACTAACCTCACGAAACTCGTAAACATCATAATAATGTATAATAAATGATACAGAACAAAACTTTTATCTATCAGCCATGGGAACCATGCAAAGATCTCATGTGCTTTGTCCTTGAAACAAACCAGAGACTCTAAAGGAATTGAAATTCAAAACAGAAAGGAGAAGATTAGCTGTAGCACAAAGTCTTCTGTTCCATGGAAAAGGAATCAACTTGTACCAGGAAAAAGGAAGCAACACCACATAATTGCTGCTGTTTCTCCAAAAATCAATTGTCACACTAACATAATCTTGTCAAGATCCAATAAGTAGACTATATAAAGCTCAGAAAAAGTCTACACGTAAATGTTAGCTTTCAACAAAACTAACCATATTGAAGAACTTGATATTTATACCAGCTAATGAGAAGCCCAAGGTATAGGACATTTTTCGAGATACTTCCAAATGAACACCCCCAAGAATGATCTAATCCACATGTCCAGTGAGCACACAACGAAAGCACAATTTGAAAATAGAACTGTTAGGTAATACAACAAAGATAACAAAAAATAAGAACGTCAAATATACAGCTGAACAGTCTAATCTCAACAAGACTACTTCACTTCACAAATCCCTACACTCCCAAAGCGCAAGAACTTAGCATTCGCAAGAGAATCTAAATATCTATCCCCAAAATTCACTTCTTTATTACCTTGAGGCAGAGCATTGATACATAGCTGGTGGCAGTAAACTTATCAGTACATATCTGCCAAACTAAAAGCCCACAATGTGGTAAGGATGCATTTTGTGGTTCGATCCCAAACTGAATTGAAGAAAAAAGTGAGAGCAATAGACCAGTTAACAGCAAAGTTATATATATATATATATATATATATATATATATGCTATGTATTTTGTCAGATTCATAGCTGACAGTCAAGATGAGAGCCGCAAAAATATTCAAAAAGAAAGATATTCATGCAAAGATTGATGCCCCATTGATCTCTCATTTTTATTCATGGTAATCTAAGGTGACGAAGTGCTCCAAGAGACGAGGACATTTATACCATCAAATTCAATCTATCTAACCTTTATCCACCTTATCTATTCACATAAGGAGTCTTCTACATCAGCACAAGCATCATATCTATAATGAGAAAAATTATAAGAGAACTATAACAGTTCCCCTGTGCTTTCAGAATCTCGATCCTATATCAACATCTAATGCTAAGAAAAATTGGAGTCTAACAAAGTCAAGCCACGCAGAGAAAGAGGACACAACATACACATTCATAGAAAAACAGAATCTTCCTACGACCTTGAGATCATGCTACAGGAACGAGCCACTTTAAACATCAGGCCGCCTGCATCTTTGGTTGTCTCTCCCCCAACTGTGTCATGTTTATACTGCTTCCTGCAAGCTGGACAACGCCCATCCTCCTCAAGAATCTTCTTGTGACAAAAGAGACAAAGCCTAAATCCGCAAGGACAAGGGAGAAAACTTGTATCGGTAAAATCCAAATCCTCACAGCATATAGGACATGATGTGGGTATCGCTGCACTTTTACATCCCCAGACAGAGCCTCCCCGGCAATGACGCCCTGAATTCATAGGGAAAGTATATTGTTTTGACAAATTTGGAAGACTTTGGGGACGGAATTCATCATCGGGCCTCCACGCCTGAAAGCTGACAGGAAATACAGGTATAGTTCCTCTGCCCTTGGGATTCTGCTGTGATGTATCCAGCGCTGGTACCTTCCCGTCAGAAACTTCTTGTTGAAAACTCATATGAACCTGTGGAGCTGAATCCAAGCTAGAGTTATGCTGCTCCTGCTCCTTATCAGTGGCAGCTAAAGCATCAGCAACAGCTTCCCAATCATCCAAGCAGTCATCGTCCCCTTCGTTATCTTCCTCACTCATACTTACTGAGCAACACCCACCACTGCTACTAAAACCGCCACTGCTACTACTGCTGCTACTGCCGCTGCCACCAGTGAAATTGGTCCCAGAATAATTTCCTTCCAACACACTACTAGTGTGACTGGTGGGGCTATTAGAAGGTGAATCAAAATCACTGTAGGTGTTCATGTAACCCCCACTTTCCTCTGCTTCTCCTCTCGGCTTTATAGCAAACTTCTTCATCAATTGGCCCTTTTCATTAGTAACCTGCATCCCCTGCTCACAAACCCCGCCCCCACCATTAAGTTCCTGCTTGGAGACTTTATTCTTCCCTACACAAGCCCCAACCACCAAGAATTAGGCACATAAAAATAGGAAAGCAACATAACTAATCACAGAAACAGAGAAAAGTACCAATCTTGAGATTGATTAATTCAAACACCAAATGCACGTTCTTTTTTCCCTTCAAAGATTTTAGGCTGTAGTCATACGCAAACAACTAAAGTTGACACGAAGTTTCACTTATACACCTCAAGTAAACTGTGTACCTACTACACACTAACAATACCTGAATTTTGTATCAATAAGACACTTGTTGCTGGCATGGCATAGTGAGTTACATACACTCATTTGTAGCGCATTTAAGGGGTTTATTTGGCAAATCTTGTTCTATATTTCTCTTATTCCTCCCTATTTTTCCAGTCACTACCTCCCACCATTCCCCCAAGCTTAAACTCCTTTAATGGAGGTCATATTTTCCGACTCAAATTTATTCTAGGATTTGTGAAATAGTGATTTGCTTTATTTTGTCGTTGACATCCAATTTACTTATTAAAAAGTGAAAGAGCTTCGAAAAATTGTTTCAGCAATTCCATCTACCACCATTCCATGTAATAAAAATCATGATGCTTTATCTTGGACATGTTATTGCAGCTTTTCTGTGTAATGGAGTAATAAACATGCAAAAAATTGACATATTTTTTAAGATCTATTGCTGGCAAAATATTGAAACATTGAGTTCTGCTCTTCCATTGGAGCAATGGACGAGTGGTGTTTGCGGTGAACTTTCTTGCTTTTTGTGGAGGACGAAGAAATGGGAGGATGCAGAGGGCCGCGAAGAGGACAATCAAATGGGGGCGGAGGTGGCGGAAAAGATAATGAAAAAGGAGGGGTTTGGCTGTGGAGAAGACAATTTGGATGGGGTTGGGAGGTCTGCTTAATAAACGTGTTTTCACTTTAATTTAGGACAATATTTTAATATTCAAAATTTTAGTTAGTTAGGGAAGACCTAAATATAAGAAGATACTTAAATGACTATTTTGTCTAGTGTGAAATCTATTTTTACATGATAAAAAAAAGGAACTTTCCAGACACATCTTTTGCGGTGTCTCCATTCAAGCAACACAAACCAATTAACTTAACAGGTTGGAGTAATTCTCCACCCATTGACACTACTTCACTATGGGAAGTTTTAACCAAACTAAGCCATTATATAAAGTCATTCACCAAAATAATATATTTTTCTAAAATTTTACAAAACTAGTATAAACGTATTCCACAGTAACGTTTTAGCATATATTTTATTTTTTAAAAGTTGATGGCGTCAGATTGATATACATTACTCATAGTAACATTTTACTCCTAAAACGTTACTCACAGTAACGTTTTAGGAGTAAAACGTTACTGAAAATAACGTTTTAGAAGTAAAACGTTACTTACAGTGACGTATATCAACCTAATGCTGTTAGTTTTTAAAAAATAAAATATACCCTAAAACGTTACCATGAAATACGTTTATACTAGTTTTGTAAAATTTTAGAAAAATGTATTACTTTGGTAAATTGTTTTATATAATGACTTAGTTTGGTTAAAAATTCTCACTATGGACATCAAATTTTTCAACATAGTCATACCCTAAATCATAATATATGCAAAGCGCCACAATGAGATAGATGAATACTACATGTATATATAGGCCAAGAACTGGGGAATGAATTTTGTTCTTGTTCTTGTAGAATTGTGATGACTTTAGAATCACAACAATTGGTATGACACATATAGGTTAGAAGAAGCCATATGTTCTCCGTACAATTCGGATTTCTTACCTCGTAGATTTGGGCAAAAAGGCCACATGTCATTGACTCATTGGTCGCTTTGCTATGTGTTTTGGCCTACATTTTCTCTTTATTTATTTATTTTGGGTGTGACGCGTGCATAACATGATCTAGACCGTTACAGTAACATGACACAACTTAAATGACCAATTAATCCAAATAAGAAACGTTTTTGCACACACGCCTGAGACTTTTTATAAGCAGATGCAACAATTATCAAAATAGCACAGGCAAACCCTACTTCAGCTGTTTAACTGTCTAAGTGAAACTTCGCCCCAAGTGTTGGCATATGACTTCAGCAAAATTTTTAACTCTTCACACCCATGACTATAACTAATGTGAAAATATTTATTAAAAAAACTTGGTAATTGTATATATTCAAGTCCAAATTCCAAAGTAATGAATTTTAGCCCAACCAAAAAGGGCAGATTACTAAATACTACAATAAATGAAAAGATATGTTAAAAAAGGAGAAACATTAACAACCTTGTGAGAGCCACTGTTCACGTCGAGCATCACGCTTGCTCTGCTTCAACTTAGCCGTCCGATTAGCCTGAAATTCACAGAAAATATTAGAAATACATAGCGCAATCAAATTAGGGGAAAAAATATCCATAAAAGCTTAAGGTTTATCAACATGTAAAAGTAAATAGAACCAAAAAGAACAACAAATTAAACAAATTGTTACCCTTTTTTTCTTGCCAAAATCTCTGGAATTAGAGGAAGCGACAGGGATTGCAACGTTGACAATTGAATCGGAAACCATTATTGTTAGCTGAGTGAAATCTGTAAATCAAAAATTTGGGAAAAACCCTAAAATTGATCAGAGAAATATATCTGAAGAATTTAGGTGGATAGGTTTAGAGAGAGAAGATAACGGAAATTTGCTTTGTGTAACGCTTGGCTTTTTCAATATTAGAAAAGTTCTTTACTTTACTATATATATAAAAAAAATAATCTACCCAAATTGCCCTTGGTTGTTACCAAATCTATACTGCAACCCTATTGTTTATGGAAAATAATCTTTTAATTCCTCAGAAATATCATATTTTATTAATGAGATATTTTATTGTTGTTGAAATGTACATAATCTCAAAAAGGACATTCAATAAAAAATAAAATATTATCTTGTCCTAGTTTGTATGACATTATTCAGATTTTAAAATTCAAACAAGAAAGTCTTTAATTGTGATTTATTCATGTGTTTTAAATTTATAATTTGTGTGACTTATAGTATTTTTATGTAGTTTCTAAATATGTAAATTACTTTTCATGATCTTCGGATTTTTATGTTGGAGATCTCAAGTTCGAAAGGTCTTGCCAGCAAAAGCAAGAGATTTGTCTTCTAGGTCGAGCTTGTCGAGCCGAGCTTGCTTAGTTCAGGTTACATCTCCGGTATGATTTGCGAGCTATTGCATATGAGCAAGGTGAGTCTTACCTATATGCACCCGAAGGATAGTAACGACGAATTTCTTTGTCATAAAAAATAAATAAGAAAATAACTTTACGATATTCGAACAATGTCAGGACAAAGAGAATATTGACATAAGCAAATAAGACGTTACTCTATTGTGTCCTCATTATTTAGTTAATCAAAATTATTCTCTAACTACAACTTCTCAAAGCTTCTTACAATGTATGTACAACTACTATTTTTAACTAAAACAAAAAAATTATGTACACTAATTCAATTTGTTAGTTAAATATGTAAAGATTTTTTAGAAAAAGAAATAAATATTCAAATGTGATGTTTTACCATACAAGTAGCTAATTCCACACTTAAGAGTATAAATACGTAATGGGCATTTCTCTAGCAATGGAAAAGTAGTTGGCCTTGCTTTTTTGCTTATGGACACAAGTTTCCTTTTACATTGCACCAAAAGAACCATATGGGAAACAATGCAAAATGGGCATGTAAGATATGATTAAAGGAAATTACCTAACTTACTATTTTCTACATTATTTTTCATCCTTTGGTTATTGTATGACATATGATGTGTTGTAATATCTTTAGTACAATAAAATGAACTTGTCTTTTATGGGTGATTGCATACTCAAAAAGGAAAATTCATTGCCATGCTATCTATGTATGTTGCTTGTAAATAGAATTAATCATACAACTGTGGAACTCCAAATGTATTTGTGTAGAATTTCAGCAACAATATAGCAATGGAATTTGAATAAACATGACATACTTTGTCCATCCAATTTGTTTGTTGGATGGAGAAGATTATGAAGTGCTGCTGTGTTTTAAATATCCTACGGACAAACTGTGAAAAAGTCGTTACATAATGCGACAAGATTCAGATATACTCCGAAATTTCTGGAAGGACCCCAAGGGTAGGACTTGAAGACAGGTCATTCTTCCTGCTGAACTACAGATCCTTCTTTCTCATTTTTCTACATTTGCAGGAAGAAAAAAGGTCATATATCAGAAAGTGTTCTTGTAAAACTAACAATTTAATTAATGAACCATATGATACGTAATATTCAGATTCAGCAAAGATGATCTAGGAGAAACGGTGCACTGTCAGCATTTAATAGACCAAAGGTTGAATATGCACGTAAGGTCACTAACAGAAACCACACAAAATGTGCAGGGAGCATATGTGATGCATAGCCAGGTGCCTGAAACTAGAAGGACATAGTGTTTCAAATTTCATACCAATTAGCAAATATAGCACGTTAGCAAGCACAAAACATGAAGGGTGGTCTAGCTGCTTACTTGACTCATAGCACAACATCAGCCTTAAAGCAATTGTACATACACAATGAGTGAAGTAGCCAACTTAGAAGAAACAACTCTTCAAGTATGTTCTCAATCAGAACCCCCATGTTCAAACACATCTTTCAGAAACTCACTAGATCACTAGAAACAATTGCACTTGAATATATCATTAGTGCTCAAGAAATGAAAGCACTTGAGTTGCTAAGCCTTATACTACTAAAGCAAAAAAAGAGATACATCAACCAACATAAAAACACCAGTTTTTGTGCACCAGTACTTGGTAGTTTGATAACTAAAATCATTATGCCCAATTGGAAAGACTCCAACAAAACCAAAACAACCATCAACCTATGTTGATTGGACTCTTAAAAAATGTTGGCAATTGCATGTCGGATCCTCCCAAAACAGAGCATTATTGAAGAATACAATATAGGTGCGGCAACATTTTTGGAGGATCCAAGCAACATAGCCATCCACCTTGCATGTTAGATGAACTCTGATATAGGCCAGAAAAGAGTTCCACTGATCAGTGATCTCTGGCAGCAGAAAAGCTCCATTTTTTATCACATTCTTTTCCACTTTGGAAAAGTCAATCATTTACAGTCTGTTTCAAAGAGAACAGAAAGGTGGGAGATAGGAGCATAAGTGAAAGGTTCTGCTAGATACCTTTCCAAGTCCTCTCTTTTAACCCCTTTAAGGACTAAATGGACAAAATATATCTCTTTAACTCTTCGACTTGTTCCAAATAATGGGAGGGAGGGACATAAACTAATGAATTTCTTTCTCCCTCCTTTACCCTTCTCCTACCCTCAAGTAACTAAACACCTCATTAAAAGTCCACATCCAGCAGTTTGATGATTAAAAAGACACAAAGGCAGGTATTTCTTTGTATTAATTTTGATAAAAGTCACCAACTGACTGATGTTTATCTCAAATAAATATGGGTTAACACAAACTAAATATTAAATTGCAACTTGTTATGTAAGCGCACAAAATTATTAGAGCTAAATTATATGGATAGATTTAGGGGAAAGGTACAGGCTCTTCCAACACCTAAATGACAGCAGGAACTTCGGTCCTACTTGACTGTCTGGCGCATTGAACAGCATGGTTTTCAAGTAGAGGCCAGTAGCCAGCGCCCAGCAGAACATGAGGTACTAATCTTGAGCTGAACAATCCTCATTGATGTATTGTGTCAATACAAAGGGGCAAATATACAAAAAGGCAATAGACAAAAAATTGTTACAAGAGAAAGAAAATGATACTCCATCTTTCAAATTAGTACTAGAAGACATTCTTCATGACACACTAGGAGCTACTCACTCCGTTCCAATTCGTTTATCTAGTTTTGACAAACCACAAAGTTTGGAAAGTTAGAACTAAAGAGTTGCAAAAAAGGAAATAGATTTTCTTTTCAAAACGGACTAAAATGATAGTAAGACAAACAGATTATAACGGAATACGTATGTTAAAGTAGGTATTCGGGCAAAGTATCAGGTACACTAAGTCTAATCCTTAACTAAGTTTAAGCATATTTTCAACGACCCAACCAAAACCATATATCAGACGTACAACCTGAGCAAGTTAAAGGCAAATGAATAATCCATGTAATAGATAAACGAACGAAATCAAATAATCATGCCGGACGATCAAATGGAGATACTAAAAATGGATCAAGATATATTCGCAAATAAAATACACAAAACCCATAAAAATTCTCAGGCATCACAGCTAAAAATCCCACAATTAGGTTTTCCACCAAATAGAAAAACAACTAGCAATCATACACTTGACTGTTTATAAGGGATTGTGGAGGTTACCGATTGTGCTTTATGCCAAGAGAGACCACGGTATACGTTGACGGAAAATGTGGCCGTGAGGTAAATGGTGGTGACACCGAGCCCTCCGACGAAGGCCTTAAATAACAAGTCCCCTGCCTTGCTTGCTGCTCCCATTTCCCGGCGTTTGCCTTCGATAGTTGGGATTGAAATGGAGAAGATGACTACAATGTCGCAAAGCACGGAAAAAAAAAAACCCTCTTATTTCCAACTTGGAAGGGGTTTATGAAATTAAGACCTTTTATTTTCTTTTAAAATTAAGCATAAAAAATACACCTAAAAAAATTATTTTATCGCGAGTTTATTTCAATCATTCATAATTTACCTATTAAAATTATCACTCTCGTTGACCAGATGTGTACATGATAAAATTTTAATAATTTACAAATTACAATGAAGAGATAACACACTCACTTTCTTTGTATTAAAAAATATACATTGATATTTAAAATTAAGTGATAATTTAGGTATATAATAATTAAGATATAAAACTATAGTAGTATAAGTGTAATATATGTTGACCAGTAACTCTTTCTCTTATTAATTAGGCTAATGTGCTTAATTTATCTTTTTTCACTATGATTTTCTTGATTTTTTTTAATTTTCTCCTCTAATATTTGATACTCGTTTGGGACTCAACCAATTTGAATTTGCATTCCTTTCCAAAGAAGATTCCATTTTCAAGCCTCGAATCGGACAACTATTATAATTTAAATGGATGGCATATTTATTCTCCAATCACAATGTTTGATAATAAAAATTGGTTAGTAAAAGGTTCATTACCTAATGACATTGTTAATAAGGTTATTTGATTTCCATGAATATAATGATGTTGTAAATAATTTCGTAATTGTAAATTTTATATCAAACAAGATTTATGATGTAACTATTACTTTGGTCCGAAATGAAGTTGTTGTTTTCACAAATGCAAGGCTACAAAGGGAGAAGGAAAAGCAAGCATCGGAATGGCGACTATAGATAGTTGTGGACATTTGCTTCACTTTTGGTACCCCTATTCAATTTGTAGGGAAGGCCATAACTGCTGAAGCTCTAGCAATTCGAGAAGCTATGGAAACAACAATACAAAAGTGTTGGTCAAAGGTCCACACACTGTCAGATGCAAATAAATGTCATACAAATGTTGCAAAAAAAAATTGACACCAGCGAGCATGTTTGACGATTGATGAAATCTTTTGAAAAAATCGAGTTTATATATATTTCTCAATCATGAAATGTATTAGCTTAAAATCTAGCAAAAATTTCTATTTCATGTATAAATGGGATTTCTTGGAATTCTGATTTCTCAAGTTGTGTTGTAACGGATCCAATGATATCTTATGAACAACTAAAACATGTTTTAAAGTAATGCAAAGAAGTGCCTTCACAAGAAAAAAAAAAAAGTAAAAGGATCATGCTATAGAAGACAACAAACTTACTGTCCATACTGTGAATACAGGAATCAGCACAGGCATTACACAATAAATCACCAAAACTGTTACTCTTCATCATCAGATGTATTCCAGCAGATATAATTGGAAGTCCCATTCTTAATTGATAGATTCATTCACAATTAAATATGTAAAAGGATGACTAAAAGGGCAGCTTCGTACACTAAGTCCCCCCGCTAATGCATAGGGTCTGAGAAAAGGCCCGACCAAAAGGATTTGTTGTACACGGTTTTACCCTGCAATCTGCAAGAAACTGTATCCACAACTCTAACCTGTGACTTCCTAGTCACATGACAATAACTTTACCAATTACAACAATACTGTCCTAAAACGATAATTAAAAAGGAAAGATAAACACCATCAAGTTTGAAAGCTACATATTGTACAACGATAGCATACAAATCCAAACAATACAATAATGATAGCTAACCTACTGGATAGCAAAGGCAGATCCAGGAGTTTAAGTTTACATGTTCCTCCAGTGATCTCAAGTTAATATACAATAAAACTAGGTTCACTAATTAGTGAATTTCTCGATACAAAAACATGATCTGGGAAAAAGTTATCCGATGCATTAAGGCTATATACGGCCTCTGCTGGACATGTAAACAATCAATTGGATAGTGCATCTCACTCGTAAACCTCCATCCTTAATGACATAATGAATCTCAGAGATAGCTGACAGAAGACATTCCTTATTTTATAGCACAGAAGACAAGGCACACACAATTTCACTAGCACTTCTTAGAGAGACACATTAGCTGCAGAGATCAAACATGGAAGATATGAGCAACCAAGAGACAAACAATATATTTTCAGAAACCATAAACTAGTTTAACATGTTAACAGTCATCAAAATTTGCAGCACGCCAACAAAAATAGTGCAATATGATAACATTACTCTACAGTACTGAGAATTAAACCAGCATAGTTGATAAATTCATTATTCCTAAATGTTCTTTCTCGAAAAATTTATCCTGATGGAATATTCCAACTACCGTAACATCTTTCTATGAAGAAGCTTACTTGCGTGTTCGACCAAACTATTCAGAAACAAGAAGTGTGTGCTTATTTTTCTGTTGGGGCAAAGCAACTGAAAAATAGTTTCTCTTAATGAGCAGTACCATAAGCTGTTTTTTATTTTTTTGAAGACAAAGTACCCTTATCATATGGATTAAAACTAATGTCATGCATTGTTAACAACCCATCTATGACCAAAGTCTCATAAACATGCTCCTTCTCTCTATTGTGAATTTATCATTTGTATTTTAATGAAAAGAAGTTGAATAACTAGAGTCTCATAATGCATGTATCAAATCAATTTACCTATTCAAAACATATGAATTATAGGCCTAACTCATCGATGGCCCCCTAAATTTGACACTAACTTTCACTTAGACACCTCAACTAGGATTTGTCCATTTTAGACACCTCATGTCATATTTTTTTGGTGTGTCATTTTGACACTTTTTTTTATAATCAGCCAAATATGTAAAGTGTGTGTAACACACTCGTCGATGACGTGTCAAATGACGAATTAAACAAAGACACATGGCATATTTATTGAAAATGAATTTTGAGTTTTTCTTAAAAAAGGCCAATGACATGTGTCAATTTTATCCAAATAATTTTAAAAAGAATTAACCACTTACAAGCCCTATGTTGTCTTCTCCAACACCACCACCCCTGATCCTCAACCTCTACCCCACCAGATTGTCTTCTCCACATTCCAGAACCCCCTACCCCAAATTGCTTTAATTTTCTTCGATGTATTTTCGTAGTAATTTAACTATTTGAAAGGAATTATTTACAAAAGCACAATTTCTTTGGAAAAACCAAGTCCTCTTACTTAAAACTTCAAATAAAATCAAATTCTTCAAATTTAAACAAAGAGTTCCCTAAAAGAATTTTCTAGATTTTCTTTTAAGAAAATATATTTCAAACTTTTTCAAAACATCTCAAGGAGGAAGAATGACAACAAAATAAGAAAAGTTGTTTAAGCTTGAAATTTCTTGGTGTTGTAGCACTATTAGATCTATTTCTCCATGGATGGAGTTTAAGCTTTGAAAAGTGATGGCTAAAATGAGTAAGAAGAAGAAAAAGTTAAATGAAAATAGGTTAAATATAATCTCTCCATGCACTGGTAAAGAGTGTATCACACTCACTATGTTATGTCAGCAAAAGTGTCAAAATGACACAGTTGGACATGACATGAGGTGTCTAAAGTGAACAAAGTCGAGTTGGAGTGTCTAAGTGAAAATTAGTGTCAACTTTAGGGGGCTACCGATGGGTTAGACCTTGATTATAAAGTGAATCTTTACATGTCATTTTGTGTAGTTCAATGCGAAAGATACTTCGGAAAGATTGGTCAAACACAAAAAAACTTCTACAATATTATCCAAAAGTTCTTCTAGTGAAACATAGTCCTTTTTAAGAGTAGAAGGTTTGGCCTTTCCCACTAGAACGATGCCTCCTTAATATAAACTTTGTAAATGTTAGGAACTGATGAAATTGTGGAAGGGGGTCAGTAAGTCCGAAAGCAGATAACCTTAATGGAGTTGCAACATATTCTCAGAACTCCTGCAAATTCCCCACAAAGATCTAAAAATAGATGGAACTTTTAAGTTTTCTATGTTTAGAACTTTTAGATAACCAAAAAGACATCAAATTTGACATCTCTCCTTTCTCTTGTTTCAATTTGGATGTAAAAAAAGCACATTATAACAATTCGACGAGAGCTCTACCAGCCTGTCTTCTCATACCAAAAAATTATACATATCGTCACATTCATGTGAGGGAACACTTGCTACATATCTCAACTTGAAGGAATACCAGTTAAATTAGTATATAAAAAAAGATAGGTATACAACATAATTATCAACTGATCAAAGGGAATAAATAAGCAAAAAACCAACCTGTTGAGCAACCTAATGCCATTTGCCAACTGTCCTGAGATGATTCTGTCAATGAACTCATCCTGTGTCTTGAAAAGACTATCTAGTTTCACACATGTTTTTTGTTTGAGAGCTCTTTGCAATTGAAGCTTTCTCATCAGATACACTCAACAATTCTCTTTTCCTCTTTCTTTTGTATGTGTACTTAAACACTCTATCATTTATAGGTTGGCTAGGGACCCGATTGTTTACATCAGTCACACTTGACTCTGACTTTAACAGTTGATTGCAAAGATCTTTTATAAAGAACAACTGATTGCAAACATTCTCAATATCTTCTTCTGAAAGATCCATCTTCCCCATCAAGTCCTCATGCTCATCTATTTCATAATGAACACCAGAAGCCTCAATAGACTGCGGTTTATTATCAGAACTTTCTGCATATCCCATCTCCATGACTTGCTCACCTTTTCCTGTGGACAATCCTTGGGCCATCTCAGAAGAATCTTCACTTGGAGCATTGCCTCTGGCTACAGTTGAATCATCTGTCAAGAAATTATTGGTTGTCATGTTTTCCAACTTCAAAGAATGTTCAGAAAATGTTTCATTTTGAATGATTTCCCTATCTGACAGATTTCCTTCAGCAGCATGAATTATCTGTGTATGTCCATTTTGGTGTAACTCTAGCGCTTTGCCTGTCAAACTTAAATCCGAACTAGCAACAAAACAATTTCCGGGGTTAACCTTTGTATGACAAGAATGGTAGCCCTTAGTTTTCTGGTTCATACTGTCAACTTCCATATTAGAAGTTGTCACAGAATCATCCTGAGATTCTGGAGGCAGTACAACTGTGTTGTCCTTTTTAAGTTCTCTAGGATTAGTACTATCAACATCCAGTGACTGCTTTTCTTCTTTCTCATTGCTGGTGACTTTCTCAAGTTCAGCTTGAACTTCTCTCAATTCAACCCTGAGATCACTACCAACATCCAGTGATTGGTTTTTTTCTTTTTCTTTGCTGGCGACTTTCTCAAGTTCAGCTTGAACTTCTCTCAACTCAACCCTGAGATCACTTACAATATCTTCTGCTTCCTCTAGTTGAGATTCAAGTTCTTCAATCTTCCTCTGTTGACTCAACGATGTTAACTCTGCTTCAATAATCTGTCAATAAGATATGGAAAAAATATAAATAGTGGATACTGGCAAAGAATATGTTTGCAAGATGTCTTCTAGGTGAATGATATATAAAGAAATGACAAAAGTTAAAGTTGGTTACATCTACTAAATTATTGGCCAGAGGGGAATCGGGAATAAAAGAAGTTTATGTTGTAACTGAGAATCAAAGAAGCTTTGTAATATTAGA